TATGGACACACTTGGAAATGCATGGAAATGCATGGAAACACATGGAAATGCATGGAAATACATGGATACATATGGAAACACATGGAAACACATGGAAACATATGAACACAACATGGAAATGCATGGACACACATACATGGACACACATACATGGACACACACATGGACACACACCCTGTGCCCAGGAGTCCCCTGTCAAGCAGGATCAGCTCCTCCAGGACCAGCCAGCCCAGGCTGTGTCCAGGCACAGCTGAGCCAGGCTGGCAGTGCCATCCCTCCCACCCCTCCCCAGCACCACGGCATCCTGCCCTGCCCTGCCCTGCCCTGCCCTGCCAGGAGCTGGGATTTGGGGACACACCCCAGGAGCTGGGACTGTAACCCCTACCAGCAGCTTTTCACTGGGGAGAGCTGAGCACAGCCAGCTCGGCCCCCAGGAGCTGTTTGCATGTTGGGAAGTAAAAACAAGCCAGTTCCAATCAGCATCAAGCTGGCGAGGCCGAGCTGCATCTCCTGGCATGGGGCTGGCAGAGCTGGCACGCCAGGCAGCCCCATGCCCACCTCACACCCACCTTGCTGAGCCCAAGGCAGCACCTCGGGGAGGGGCACGATGTTAAAAGCTGTCAGTGAGAGGGAGAAAGGTCACTGAGCAGGGACTTAACACCCATAAGCAGTTTATGGGATTTGTGAGCAGCCTCAGGCTGGCTGGGAACGGCGTCAGCACAGCTCCAGCACAGCTCCACCTTCCCAGGAGTGCCACTCTGGCAGGGTTATCAACCCTCCCCAGCTCCCTGGGCACAAACAGCACAAACCCAGCGAATAACAGCCAGCAGCAAACACCTCCTGGGCAGCTCAAGGGAATGGCCACAGCCTGTTCTTCACCTTTCCTCCCCAAAGAAAAGGGGCCTGGGAAGGAAGGCAGGCACTCCCAGGGTGTGTCAGCAGGGATTTCTGGCTCTACCTGCTGTTCCGTGGAGCAGGAGCTCCCCGAGGGTTCAGTGGCACCGTGAATGCCAGCCCTGAAGGGGCATTAAACCCCCCCACGCCCTGTGCCCACCCTCCTGGAGCTGTTCACAGGCTCTGCCCTCCTCCAGGTGACCCCAACCCCGTGGCACAAACAGCCCTGGCCCAACTCCAGCTGGAGAGGAGGAGGAGGAGGAGGAGGAAGAAGAGGAAGAGGAGGAGGAGGAACCCAGAGCTCAGCAGGAGGCAGGGCTGTGCCGGGGGGAAGCTGTTGGCACATGAGAATGATTCTATTTGCTGCATAAGTGGTTTTTCTCAGCTCCAAGGACTTGCACCAGTTTCTGGCTTTAGCTCCCTGCTCTCCTCCCCCACTGCCTGAGTGCAGCTGCCAAGGCAGGGAAACGTTCCCTGCTCCTCTCTGCCCCATCTGGGCAAAGTCCTGCCCACGGCTCCCACCAGAGGAGGATGTGGCAGATGCCATCAGCAGAGGCCACCCAGCTTGGTGTGGCTGCTCAACACCAGAGCCAGCTGCCAGCCCCAAGCTGGTCCTGGTCCCCACTGTGCCCATTTGGATTTGTGAAATCCTTGCAGTCACCAGAGACAGGCTCAAGAATCTTTAATTCACCCCCAGTGCTGAACAGCAGTTAAAATAAAACATGAGAAGGAAGTGCAGCAGCTCAGGAGAGCCAGACACAGCAGGGCAAGCTCTGCCCTGGGCACAGCCCTGGAGATTCCCAGTTAAACACACAAACTCATTTGGAAGAGTCCCAGTGCACTGCTTGGGCCATGGCAGCACGAGGGACTCGCCCAAGGTATGAGGAAAGGACAGGGAGGATTTGGTCCTCGTGGCCCTGCTCTGGTGGCTCATGAAGTCCCTCAGATCTGAGTCACACAAAGTTCCTGCCCCACCTCTGCCAGGCACAGGATTGTGCCGAGTCAGGCTCCTGCCCTGGGCATTTACAGGGCTGTAAAGTGAAGGCATGAATTTATCATGCATGCAGAGGCTGTGAGAGCAGCAGGCAAGCTCACAAGCCAGTCCACCCTGTCGGACAACATGTACACACACTCCTTCAAAGCCTCCCAGCCAGCTCAAATTGCTTCCATTCAAAAGAAGTTCAAAGTCTGCCACCTGCAAAACAGCTCAAGGCTCGGTGTGATTTCAAGGGTGGGGACAGGGAGCACACAGGGAGCTTTGGAGCTCTCAGGACAGCAGTGGTGCACAGTTCTCCTCCAGTCAGGCACGTCGATGCCTTCCTACAGACTCAGAGGGGGAAAGAAATGCAGTTAATCAGCTGTGTTTACAGAAAACAACGCACATTATCCACAGGAACAAAAGGCTTCTGGGGAGGGAAGGCAGAATGGGGAGGGATGAACGTGCTCAGGTACTGCCAGAACAGTCCCTGATACCAAAACACCAAAACACCAAAGCTCTTCTCTGAGAAAGGAGCTTCACCAACCTTCAGTAATTTATGAACACAAATACCTGAAATACAACTGGAGTCTGGTGTGAGATTATTCCCCTGCTCCTCCTGATTTCCAGCTACCAAAACCCAGTCCAGTCACATCAAAGAACACCTCATGTCATGTGAAAAGTCACTTTAGCATCTCAAAGTAATGGATTTTTGCACCTTTAGTAGTGAGCTTTTTTGCAAAGCAGCTGAGCTCACTGTGGTGCATTTAAAGAAAGGGACAGACCTGGGTGTTTGGAAGGGTTCATTAAATGCAGACAATCCTGGTCACACCCTCCCCGTTCCTGCTGAGCCCTGGCTAACAAGGATCACATTAAAGAGCCATTTGCACATTGGAACAGTCAGGGATGCAGTCCTTCCACTCAGGCACTATTAGGAGGGTGGGATTTCCTCTGTGTCATCCTTGCAGACAACTCTTCCTCCCAGCCCACTTCTCCTTTCTGTCTGCAGCCTTTCCTGCTCACCGACGTGTGTTATGACATCAAGCTGATATGAAATCATGATGATTTCACTGCAATTAAGGCAGGAGCAGATGGAACTGGCTAAGCAACAAATCTTCTAAATTGGAGAACGCTGTCAAGAGAAATTAAAGCCTCATGCAAAAAAAAAAAAACAAAAAACCAAAACGAGTTGGGATGGCAAAAAATTCCACATGGGAGGGAGTGCAGGGAGGCAGCAAGGCCAAGGTCCTGGTCAGAGCTCTGCACTGAAACATCTCAGCTCAGGAAAACCCCAGCACAAAGCAGGGACAGGTTCCCAACGAGAAACAGCTCAAAAAGCCAAGAGAGAACAGGCACAACACTGCAACAGCGAGGCAATGCCTGAGATCGAAAAATAACCCCCAGAGAGAAAGGATTGCATAGAAAACAGGAAAAAAAAATAAATAAAGTGTGTGGCACATGCTGGACAAGCTCCAGACCCAGCAGACACATCAAGTGTTTTTAACACAGCCAGGGGTTGTGTTTGTCACTTGTTACCAACACCACACTGAGGAGCAGCCAAGGAGTGACGCTGGCAGTAACTGGGAGCCAGAGCTGTCTCTTTTCAGAGCCTTTATGGGAGAAAAAGGCTCTCAACTGCTTCTAACAAGGAATGGCTTAAATAGGTTAAAAATAATGAAGCAGTACTCTGCACATGAGCACTCCGTGCTCCCAATTAAGCAATCCTTTAAAAGGTGGCCTTAGGAAGCCTCTCAGAGTCGTTCTAAGGAGGTTAATAAATTGCTTTGAAACCCTGGACGCAGCTTAGTGAGATGACTAAGGAGCTGTTGTCACAGCCTAATGTCATTACCCGAATTCTGGCACTTTCCAGGGAGCACGAGGCTGCAGATCTTGAGCTTTACAGCCTCTTGTCCAAACGATGATTCCTCGTCAAGGGCCTGGGGCTGCTTGCAGAAGTTTTGACTTTTGCAGGTGAATCTCTCTCAACACAAAACGTTTGCAGAGGTGCAAGCAGAAGTCGGGATCCACAGGGTTTTAATCCTTGAGGCTGAAGTCTTTGTTACAAACCAAGGAGAACACACAGCAAACGGGAGTTTGGTGCCTGTTTGAGGAAGGTGGGCATCTCGTGTGTGCCAGCACATCTGGCACAGGCTCTTGATGCAAAACACTTGGCCCACGCTCCTGTGCAGAAATAAATTCTATTCCCACAAATGTGCAAGGCTGACTGAGCTCCAGGCTCCTCCACAGCACCTGCAGCTCCCCAAACTACAAACCGATGCATTTTGACACCCTGAATGTATTTACTGTCCCTTACAGAGCTCATCAAGAGCAGCTCTGCCTCTAAACCCCCCCCCTCAAAAGTCACGAGCAAATTTAACAGACAGAGAAAATAATTTATTCTCCTGAAAGCAAATTATTTTCTCCAACTTTTCAGCGAGTATCTCGTGTCAGAGCATGAAAAGCGATGCCACAATTCCGAGCAGCCTCTCCAGGAACAGCTGCCAAGAAGGCATTTCATTGATGCTTCTTCCCCTCCTGCCAACGTGTGTTGTCAGACACGTTGCCTAGACAGCAGAAATCATGGATAAGGACATCTCACAGTGCTCCAGATACCAGTTCTTACAAACAGACTGGTTTTTCATAGGAGGCATTGCTTGAAAAAAACCCCATCCTTATTTGGATGGGGCAATAATCAGGAGTTTGGAAAAGCATCCTGGCCAGGAGAACAAAAGTTCCATTTCTTCTTGCACCTGGCAGGCACAGAGCCTGCTGTGCCTCAGGAGCTGCCCAGTGTGCTCTGCTATCTCTGAAGCCCAGCAGCCTCTCTGCCTCCCTGTCCTCCCACATTATCTAGCCCAAAGTTTATTATTTATTATTACGAGCACACAGTGTTCTCCACCTAAAGTTTAACATCTCAGGGCAGATCCTTCTTGGTACAGAGTACAGGGGAGCCTTGATCCACATCATCACCATTCCAGGAGTGCACAGTGTCTTATGATCCTGAAGAAATGGTTTTTCAAAAGGAAAGAAAGGTCTTTTCCAATTGTGAGCAGCAACTCTGCTCCATGCATGAAAACTGTCTAAAAAGCAAACATACAGACAACATTTACACAATAGGCATCTGGCAGCATTTTCAGACATTTTTTTTAATTTATTCTGACATGCTATAAAGGAATAAATTACACTGTTAAAGAATTACCAGCAATAAAAGTATTTCTTTCTTTCAGCTGGGCTAGAATAGGAGTGAGAAGGAAGACAGCCTGGGGCAGTAACCAATGTGAACTCTGCATGGTGTGAGGCTGCCCCCGAGAACAAGAGGAAATCTGGTCATATCCACTTCACAAGAACTTGAAAGAAAATGCCTTGGTTTAAAACCATCCAAATTTTTGGGGTTTTTTTTTTCCAAACCATTCCAATTTTTTCTCCAAAGCAGCAATCACAAGTCAGTCCAGCCGAGGCAGGACATGGCAATGCTCGGAGGCTGCCAATCCTGGGTCTGCAAAAGATGCCATTTCATTTTAAAAAATTCCAATCTTATTATAGAGGGCTGGTCTCAAACAACAGGTTATAAAAATGCAAGACTGCCCCTTCCCCCTCAAGGAAAAAATACAAAATTTATTTAAAAACAAAATGAGGAAGAGTTACAACACTAAATCTAAAATGATTTAGAAAGAAATATGACTTCTTTTGCTTAACAAATGGCCTTAAAACTTGGTTTAAAAACAGGGTAATGTAAATTTCTTAAACTGAATTAACAAGGCAAATTAAAAAAAAAAAATCTCATTTCCTTACAGAAACAGTTTTTAGTTTTTAATGAACTTGTAAACAAAAAAGTTCCCGCTTCAAAATAAAAACAAAATCCCAGATCATATAGATGTTTACAGTGATTACATTTATCTAAGCAACTTACATACAGGTTCAGTTGTAAGATGTTAACTAAATTTCGTGACAAATATGCTGTTTTTCCTTTTATACCAAGAACATTATAGAGTTAATGCAGAGTCCTAAAGATTATCTAGTAGTCGCTAAGTTTCTCTTAAGTCTTCACTTTAGATGCTGTTATTTCTAGCACAGGTAAGCAGGCAGAGTCTTTCATATGCTTAAAAACTGGAATCTTTGGTTACTACCATGTCAGCTGGCTTGGTATGTTGCACATAGAAGCCAACAACTTTAAGAATGTTTTAAGTGTACAACTTTCAAAACCCAGGGAGGAATAACCAGAAAAGAGTGCACAATTGTGAGCATTTACAATTATCACAACTGTTGCCGAAGACTGTTCATGCCATTCTTCCAAAACAATGAGATCTCATAAGCAGTGTAGTTCAAAGTAAAAAGGTAACAAAAATTGGCATATGCACAATTTTCTCCACTTGTGTGTCAACCATTAGTTAACTTTTCCACTTGAAAAAAATGCAATAGAAAACTGGACACCATGTTTCACTATCTCAGTAATATTCACAATTACAGCTGCTACAACTCAAAGTGCAGCATCACTGACACTGCCCAGAGCCAGTTTATATTGATATTAAGTTCTTTACACCAAGGAAATGGTTGCCCACAGCCACTGGCAAGTGTATGAACTAAAATTTCTAGGATTTGGGGAGTGACAAGTCCTGCTCCGATCTGCTCTGCTTTGTCCCATCCTCGTCATGCTCAGAAACCTGCAAGATAAACACAAGGGGAAACTTTACTGATACGGGATGGAAATTAGCAACAGCCTTCACAGGAGGAGAATTAAACAGCAGTTATGGTCATTCAAAGGGGAAAATGCTGCTCCATCTGGGAACTGCAGAGTTCCTGGTGGCCATTTCCAAAGGTAACCCAGCATTTGGAGCTCTCACACCTCTCACTCACACCTAGTGCTGCACTGGGAGCCAGGCTTAATGCACCAGCTGGATGCCACATTCCTGCAGCAGCAATTCAGCCCAGCAGTTTGAAAACAAGCCGTGTTATTGCCACTAGGAAACAGGATGTAATTTCATAGGATTGTTTTCTACTCGTCTGCAGTGGCTCATGTTTATATCCCTGAATGTCAAGCTGTCATCTGACTGCAGGGTGCTCTCCAGAGACGCAGTACGGCAGTGTCACACGCACAGGCAGGGGACACCTCACCCTCCAGTACCTGCTGCCACCACAAAGCCACAGCAGCACGCTCTGGGCAGCCACAACACAAGGCAGGAGCTGTGCCAGGGACTGGGAGAGCAGCACACCTCAGTGTTTGGAAGGACGAGCTGACTCACATGACAGGAGAGGTGGTGCACACACAGCAATTCTTTTCATGTTCAGTATTCCCAATGACATTGGGGGACAGGGAGGGGACAGGAACACACACACACACACACACACCTCCAAGAACCAGTCACTGCAGGCTAAGCCAGTCCTGTGCTCCTTTCTGGTGGCTCAGGTGGCAGGGCTGGCCTTCAGAGGGAACAGGAGCCCCAACCAGAGATGGTTTTGCCAAGAGAGTTTCCGCTCTGGATGCCCTCCAGACAGGAGGGTTCTGACCATGGCTGAGCTCATCACAGCAACAGCTCTGAGTTTTTGCAACAGAAATCTCTTCTCAGTGAAATACAGACAAAGCTGACCTCAGCTAGAGCTTGTGCTGTCATCCAGAGAGAAGCAAGTGCAAACAAGTCTTGCTAGTCTGACATTGTGTCCAAAACGTATCTGGAGAGCACCCAGAAAATGGCTTTAACTCTTCCAGAACTGGCTACAGGTTATTTCAATGAGGTTCAAGAACTTGTTTCAAACCCCGTGTTAATGCACTGAAGGACAATTCTTTTTATCCAGCACTGGTCATATTAAAAAAAAAAAAAAAAAATCCTGTGCCAGAATCAAGACAGACATTCCCACTTGAGTGCAAATTCCCACAGAACAGTGACTCCTGATTCCCTAATCCTTACTTGATGCACACAACCAGAAATTATGCTGTTTTTCCATTTAGTGTGTTCAGCAGAGAACACTGATTCATCTTTTGAACCACTTTCTCCATCAAAGCAGCCAAAACAAAGTCAACAAAGGAAGAGTGTGGAAAGAAATAGATCAAGTCATTGCTTTACAAGTCTGAACATTTCATAAGAAATGGGAGGCTGAACCTGAGGACAAAGAGCATCCTACCAAATCATCTGCTGCTATTAGAACTCCTCAAACCCAAGGTAACATGGGCAGGAGAATGTCCAGATACTGCTACAGAGAGCAACAGGGAACTGGATTCAACTCAAAATGTCCCTTCAAGACACAGCCCAAGCACAGCTCTCAGCTGAGGCAGAGATACTCAGAGCACTGCTGGCATGAGGAACGTGCTGCAGAGTTCATGGTGGCATCTCTTCCACAGATCTTCACTCCATCCAGGGCCAAATCGTCACTCCTCGTCTCTCTGAGGTGTTACCCAAACCTCTGGAAATGTCTGTGCTACATGAGGGATCCTCACATTGCTTCATTATTACCATGGCTGAAGATCTGATTGACAGGGGAGCAGCAAATGTGGTGTAATTCCCTAAAAACCTCCTCTATTTAAAATGCTCAAACTTTGTGTATTCTCCATTTCTCCAGACAAGTGAGAAGTATTCAGTTGTCAATAATTCTAATTCTCAAGCAGAAAAGCCTCAGTCTGTTCTGAGCAATCCTGCCACCACCACAGGCATCCAGCAAATATTAATGGACCTGCTGACAGCCTCACAGAATCTCCAGTGTCAGGAATTAAAAGCACCTCTCCCAAATGGAACTGCTAGACTTTATCCTGCAAGATTGACTGCCTGAGTCACTTTTATGACTGAGGGAAGCTGAGTGTAAGCACAGTTACAAATCACACCTGAACAAATGCTGCACTGGCAAAAGAGAGCCAGCCCAACCTGGCCGAGTCAGCAGAGCTCTGTCTGCTGGAACAGTTCACCTCTCCCAAGTTCCAAACCAGCTGATCTGGCTGTTACAAAAGACACTGCACAGAGTTCCAGAGAGGGGCAGGGAAAGAATAAATTGAAGAGAAAAAAGGCCATGGACAGAACAGGCGATTCTAGAAACAAGCAGAATATTTAGCCTGGATAAATTCTAGGATTCGTTGATGATTTAACACGGATCTGAGTTAAGAATTCAGGAATATCAAACGATCTGAGTCTGTACTTCTCTGGCTCACCCTGCCCAGATGCACATCTTCAAGAGCACTTTATAGATAACTGCACATTGTATAACCTGTACATTGCTATTTGCAGGACTCCTGTTCAATAGATGTGGTAACATTTGATACCAGGAAGCCTTTTAAGCCATTTCCACACAGGCTTTGCTACAGCAACTACAAAAGAATTTAACTGAACTCCAGAAAAAATAACCAGGTATTTCATCCTCTCCAATATGACAGAGTATCCAAGGCATACAGCCTACACCTTCACCTTAGCTGGGTTCAAAAAAATCTTCATTAATAGGCAGAATTCCCCACAAAAGACAGCTAGGATTTCAGGAATCTGGAGATCTTTACTTTGATGAAGAGATGAATCCTCTGAAGTCTTCAGATGTTTGCCAAGCACTGCTTTAATGCTCTGCTGACATTACAGCTTGATTGATCCAAAGGTCACAAGCCTTTCTTGGTGATGGGGAGGGAAGAGGAGAGTCATTCCCCAAAAGAACCCAATGGGATTGTGCTGAAACCTCAGGAATTTCCTCTTAGCTGTAGCAATGGGTCTCTACCGAAGGACAGTGTGATAAGGAATGTAAATCAGTGAAGAGAAATAGTCCAGGGCTCCATGGCAAAGCTTCCACGGTGCCTGGCAGTGAGCTCAGCTCTGCTCTCTGCCACTGAAGCATCACTTCAAGGTGCAGGCAGATCATCACTTTAATCACTTTTCTTTCCTCACACAGAGCATTTAGGCAGAGACTGTCTGAGCCAGCAGAGCAGCACATTAAACCTCAGAACACTTCAGCAAAACTGTGTTTCAGCAGCTCACACCTTGATTTTCAGGGCAGGTTCCACTTACAGATCATCACCTGCAAAGCCTTCACTTGGAGCATGAGCTGTTGTGAGGAATGTGCATTTCTGCTCAAATTATCTTCCCCTGCTCCAACAGCCAACATCTCCACACCCCAAATTGGGCTGGGTTCTGAACTTCAGTCAGAGTTTCTCTATTTCAGGAAGCAATCCAAGCCCAGGTGCTTAATCACCCAGTCTGTTACTGGTGTTGCAGCTGAAGAACTGGTTTCCAGCCTCTGTCAGCTCCAGCCACTCTTTATGCCAAAAATCTGACATTTAATGGCATCTGTGAATTTTTTATTTTTTTTTTTCAAGAACCACTTCAATCTTGGGAAGAGCAGCAGGTATTTTACTACTTCATTTATTCTGGATGAAATGTGATTTTTTGATAGCTATTTCAACTAAAGACACCTGGTAAGGTTTGAATGCTGCCACAATATGTGAAGAACAATGTTTTAGTTTGATGTAAACACTTCTGCATTTCTTTGATTTCCAGGATTGTCGTGTTAGCCAAGTACATAATTTTATACATATAAAAATGACAGATAAGAGGTACTGAAGAGCAGCAATGCCTCAGTACAGAATTTAAACCCTGCTTCTCTATTCTCAGTCACACAATCTCATTAGTTTCAATTTTATCCACAGCTCAGCTGGAGGAATTGGTTTCATGGCAAGACTGGCTCAAAAATGCACAGATGTGACAGTTGCATCCTAGGGACTTACCAGACTCACACCAGCACATTTACATCACACACACACACAAAAAAAAGGATTTTAAAAGCTTCAAGACCATGTGGGAAAAAGAACTGCTGTGTCTTTTCAGAACTTAGTTTTCAGTTATTACACAATTACATTTGAACATGTCACAACATTTCCCTTTGAAACCATAACCTAGAAACATCAAAAAAATCATCAGGAAACCTGAAGCCCCACCCCAGAGCACCCAGATACTTCAGAAAATTGTGAGTTGGCAATCCACAGCAGTTTGGGCTTACTGCTTGTTTTTCACAAGGCATTTTGAGCTCACTGGTCCCTTGCTTGAACTCTGGACCAACTGTCTCAATGTAAACCCACTGGAGGAAGCCAGAGCAGTCACAATTTTCTGTTCCCAGTGTTGGAGGCATACAGAACAGAAGCAAACCCACAGCACTGTACCAGCTGCCACAGAGCAGAACCCAAAGTCTCTAGATCCTTGCCCAGTCAATGAGAATTATCCCTTAAGAAGTGTTAGGTCTAGGATTTTGGATTGCATTATATATTTATACATATATAAGGACATATATATGTATATATATAAAAATCAAAATAAATAAAAATGTCACATTCCCAACACCAAGTCAGTTTCTTGTTTTTGGAAAGTGGTTAATGCAGGAGCAAAAAGATGCAGTGGTTAAAAATGACCCAACATCCCCAGAAGAAATGATATGAATAACAAGGACATTTTGGTATAAAGTTAGTAGTCAAATTCTCCAAGGACGTCTTTTGGTTTTGCTTTTGAATTTAAGAGCCAAATGTAGATTTTAAACCACCTCCTTGATCTAACACTTGCAATTGCCGCCGTTGTCCAAATTCGTGGAATTTTTGTTTTTCCTCTAACGTCACTTGGTTCTTGGCTACTAACCTTTCATGTTACTCTTGGATTTGTCAGTTTGCTTGCCTGTGGGGGTTTGGGCCTGCTGCCCCTGCCCACTGGAAGAGGCTGCCTGCTGTGCTGCTTTCTGCTTTAACATTGTCCAGTCGAATGTGTAGTCATACTGGTGGTTCAAGGTCCTGCAAAAGAGGGAAATGTTCTGCTGTAACAAGTCAGAGCTAACACCAAGCCCTGCCTGAAATCCCAGAACTAGGGGATAGCTCCTTCTCTAAGCTGCTTTGGAGATTATGAATGGTATAGAAATGTTAAGTATTACTAACTTAAAGGGATTCTTGCAGCAAGCCCAAATGCCAGCCAGCAGCATTTACTCACTGCTTACACAAAGATCTGCACTTGTGGAAGCAGCACTTCCTCCCAGCCCAGCTCACCCTCTGGCTGCACTGAGCTTCTGAGCCTTTTTTTTTTTTTTAACATAGATATAATTTCAAGGAGAGACTGCAGTATTGTACATCACTGAATAAAGATTCTTTGGATTCCAGAAACCTGGGGAGAGACTCCAGAGATCAGTACCAGCCCTTCTTTTGACATGCTGTTCACTGCACAAGGTGGAATTTATGTTCCAGTTGCTCTAACGAGCTCAATGAAGCAGCACTCTTCTCCTCCACTGAAATTTCTCTCCTGGGAACCACTGCTGGGCACAGCACTGATTTCCAAACATAAAAAGCTTCAAAGGCTTCTACCAAGGGGTCAATTTCTGAAGGTACTTGCAACAGAACCTGAAGCATGGGGCTCAGCCCTGTGGTCACATCACACAGTGCAAAAACAAGAGAATCTTTTCCCTTTATGTTTAACATTGAACAATAATTTTCAAGTCCTTTCAACAGCTTTTGAAGCTCTGAAATGAAAGGAAGTCCCTGAAGAACTCCCTACACCACACACACAGGAGCTGCTCTCTGCAGTGCCAGTCCCACTGAGCAGTTTCTAACTGGACCCCTGAGAAGTTTCTGTACTTTTCCACTTGGAGACTGACCTGAAAAGAATACGGAATAATTGCCTCAGGTACATGTAATCTGGTGCCTCTTCAAAGCGCAGGCCACGACAGTAGTTCAGGTACATGGCAAATTCTGCAGGGAACCCCTGAAAATCAACAGTGCTCATCAAGCCATGGCTTGCAGCAAAAACCTTCTAACAAAGGCAAAAAGATGGGTATGTGTCTCTCTAATAGCAGAGGAAAACGGGTTGAAGATGTATGAATTAATTCCACTTTTTGTTGATTTATTCTGTATTTCAGCACGTGGATTTGTTCAGGTACACATTGCTTCCCCAGAACTGTTACCTCATACATGGTTTGCAATCATAAGCTCTCTGCTACCAGAACCTTCAACATTTATTTGTAAAGCATATTGTTCATCCTAATTAAACTTTGCTCTTATTAACTAAGTCTCTAAAATAATGAAAATTATCTGGTAAGAGATTCATTCTTGTTTCCTTAATAATCTGCTTGAACACAGTAGAGACAAGGTCAGTTAACAAGTGTGAAAACTTAAATTGTGAAAACCTCTTTCAAAGATTTTCTGCTTTACATTTTCAAACACGATGTGTATGAAAGCCTACCTGTAATAAGTAATAGCATACAGAACAGTGCTGTAAAAAATCACAGGGTGTAACATCCCTGGAAGTTCAAGGCCACACTGGATGGAGCTCTGAGCAACCTGGACTAATGGAGGGTGTCCCTGTCCCCAGTAGGGGATTGGAACTGGATGATTTCTAAGGTCCCTTCCAACCCAAACCATTCCATGAAGAGTTGAACAGCCCGGGAGATGCTGTCAGGCTCTGGGGATAGAGATTTGCAGGACTAGAAAGTGCAATCCTTGGTGCTGCTGCCCGAGGTGAACAAACCCTGCTGTGTTCCCAAGGATCTTTGGTAAGAAGCACTTGGATGCCACAAAAGGAATCTTAAAACTCAAAGGAAAATTTTGGAAAAACAAAGATCACTTGCATCCAATTCCACTACAGGCACCACTTGAGTTAGGGCAGACAATATGAACCCTCCTGCAGAGGCAGAAAACGGATGTGGCAAGTCAGACAGCTCCACCTTGGTTACTTATTTACTTCTGATGTCAAACTTGCACTGTAAACGTTGAAGGAATGAACAAGCCACACGTGAGAGAGTTGGGAGCCTGCAGAGCCAACAGTCAGCAAGACCTGAATGATGGTGCCATGAACTTTGCCAAGGAACAGCAGCAAATGCTGCCCTGGACACACATTCCCAGTCTTGCTGGGTGGCCAAACCCAAGGCACCCAGTGCCTGCCAAAGCAGTATTATTCAGCAGTAAATGCCATGTGAGGCTATTTAATATGTTGGCTCAAGTTTAGGAAAAAAAAACAACAAACAACAAACCAAACAAGAAAAGAATTTCCATTTCACAGTACGACATCATTTGGAAAGTCTTACCTTACACAAAACCTCAACAGGAGTGGACATTTTCTTTTCACTAATCTTTTCATACTTTTGCTTCTTTGTTGCAGCCTGTGGAACATGTAGGTCACAATATAAGAGATATTGTGCAACACTGGATTAACAAGGACAGCAGCAAAAAAAAAAAAAAAAAAAGATGACAAAAATCCTTTGGTCAACCATAAGTATTTTATGTGAAATCTCCAAGTCCCACACACTTATTGCAAAGAGAATGAAGGTCAATCTGGTATTAAGATTTGGCCACAGTTTAATTCCATTTGTCTCAGTCTAATGCTTCCATCACATGGCACAGCTCGTGGAGTTCTAGCTGCTGCTTTTGTCCATTAACCACACCAGACTTGCAGCTCCATTTGCCAAAGTTGTATTAATTCCCACTCAGTGCCCCATTCAGGGCTGCCTGGTGCTTCAGCACCCTTTACATTCATTTGCAGCTGAAGAGTTCCAGTGGCCCACAAGCTGCTGCCTTTTCAGAAACTGTGCAGCTGCAACACCATTGGAATGACACAACTCTCACACGGAGAAAGAAAAACAATTAAAACATGAAAACCAATCACTGGAGTCTAAATAAGTGAAATAAGAAATGTCTGCCACTTTTGTAGCTGGCTCCCATACATGGAAATCCTGAACAAGCCTGCTGCAGTTAATAATTATTCAGTTGTGCCACAACCTGGACTGAAGATAGCACTGAGGCTGAACTTGCCAGGCAAGAGATTACTTCCATGCTCTCTCCAGCAATTCAAAAAGCCACTAACAATGTTATTTTTCTATTTCCCAAAGGGGCCTCAGCCTGCAACAGGACAATAACTGGCAAAGATGATGTCAGCTATTGTTTAGCATCAATTTTAAGACAGTCCAACAATGCACATTTCGCCTGCTGCGTAAGAGGCAGAATCCACGGTCTATAAATATCAAGCTTTGGGAAAAGCTGCTTTGTACAACTGAGACTAAACATTATATAAACCCACCTGACAGGCAGAAGCATGATACACAAACATGAAAAAAAAAATAATATTAAAAGGGTGAGGGGAGGGAAACAAAAACATCATAACCTACCTTTAATCCTTGCCAAGGCAGACTGGTTCTGTTAAAGTACATCAATACATAGCCTAGAGACTCCATGTCATCCCGACGACTGCAGAGGGAAAAAAACACAAGGAATTACAAATTCTGCCGTTTCTTACTTTATTCCACAATTCTAGCATTCAAAAATTGGAATTAAAAAAAAAATTAATTCAGGAATAAACCCTGAGAGAACTCTAAGATAGCAGGAGATCCTATTCATTTTTAATGGGTATTCTGTAGGTATTGTGTGTTCTAATCTGCAGGGAACTGCACTGATTTGGGAAACAAAAACTTTGGAAAAATGAAAAAACAAAAAAAGAAACATGAAATGTCTTTCCTGCCTTCTTAAGTAGCTTGGGTAGAAACTGAAGATTTTCCTGTGGGAACCATGGAATGTATTGTCAGAGAGAATGAGGTTAATGAGGTCAATAAGGCTGTAACATCGTGTCAGTAAAATTGTTCCCTGAATGTTGGCTCAGCCTGGGATCAATCCTGACCACCTGGCCCCTAAAGGGCATTGCTCCTTTCATCCCTCCCTTCTGTCAAAAACCTCTGAGCTGTCTCTGGTTTTAAAATGCAGCAATATTTATAAAGGTACATGAATCAATCTGAGATGTGCCTCTGCCTTCTTCCCACAAAAGTCTGTTCCAAGGCAGCTGGAGAACTCCAAAGTGATCCAGTCACAGACTTCAGTGAGAATTTGCACAAACTCTCATGCAAAAGGCTTCAAATGCTTCCTGCCCTGCACATGTTCCCCATCCCCACTGTGGCCACATGAACACCACTGTACTTTGCTCACAGCTTTTCTGAGCACCAAGACCAGCACAGTTCACTGGAGTGGAAAACACACTCCAGGATTTTTATTTTTTTTTTCCTCTTGGCAAAGTTGCCTCTTCCCAGCTGTGGTAAAATCAGATTTTTCCTCTGACTGCTTCTCTGCAGCTGACATCTATTTAATACGAGGCAGAAAAAATAACTTCTTTCTGCTCCCTTATAGGGACAACCTGGTAAGTTTTGCTGCTGCTCTGCCACTCAGAGAAGGATTTAAAGGGTGGCAGGACAAACTCTACACCTCCTACCCCAACAAGGGATCAAAAGGCTGACTGTGGTATTGCAAACAGGATTGCACACAAAGGTGAGGGGAAAACAGCTCCCCAGAAATGGGAACAGGCTCCAACCTCATCTAGCTGCAGATCCTGGTATGAGAAGAAAGAAGTTGGTGATGTTTTGTGTTCTAGCCCAGCCACAGAACCAGAACAGCCTGGCACCCACGGGCCAGCTCTGTGACCCTCTGGGGAACAAAGGAAAAGCTCTCCCAGGGGAAAATCAGCTTTTAGCACAAGGCCAGAAAAGCTCTGCTGTGGCCAGGGAAGAGAGGATTGGTTCCCTCCCCTCAGCAGCAGCCACCTCTGAGATCATCTCAGCTGCAACATGAAACCACGGACAAAGGGCTGAAAAATGATCCTGAGCCCAACAAACTCCAGCCTGCAAAACTTGCTAATTCTATTAGAACTGCAGATTTTAATCACCAACAGCATTCAGTAAACCTGTACAGGGCCATGACATAAAATCATGTTTTCTGAGAAGGCAGTGATAAATTCAGAAGCAATAAAGGGATTAAGAGTATCCATCCCCCATCCAGCTCGTTGTTTTAATGTTTAATGTCATGATCTCGTAGTAGGAAACATTTAGTTCTGTAAATCTGTAATGGCTGCATTACATTTGAGAATATATTGATAGGAGCAGCTTTCAGGATTTGGAAAACAGGACAATCCTCTCCATTATTAAAATAAATAACATTGCAAACAGCTCCTGGACACAGCTGTCATTATCTGCAGGAAAACATGTTCTGTAACAGTTAAAAGTACAGGACTAGAGGTTAAAATATTCTGCCATAAGCTCCAGAACTGGTTTCCCTTGATTACAGGAATGCATTACTTCTTTGCCTCATTGCTGGTTTGACCTAGACAGTTTAGCAGCTTTTAGCAAGCACTAACCTACATTTCTAATTATAACAGAATTCCCATTACCAGCAGATATGGTGTAAAATCCAAGTAAATTCAATTTTTGGTGTACAACTAAATTGAAAAGCAACATCCTTTGCAGATCCCTCCTTCACTCTCAGGTGCAAGCACAAATATTCCCTTACCAGAACTGCTTGGGGATCTATGAAATGCATTTATTTCAGAAGTGACACCTGTCATTTACCTCCCTGAGCCACATACCAAGCTGGCTTAAATAATGACACTGACAGATAATTAAATACCCTGAAGGAACCTTAAGGAAATTAAAAGTAAAAAAAGGAAACATGAAGCATTTCAAAGCACCATTTGTGGGTTCCATGTTCTGTTGAAGTTGACCATGAGAAATTCTGTCATTCTCATCTTGGTTAAAACAAAGGTCAGAGGCACAGACATTCCTGGAAGCTTTAAATATCCAGGAGAAGTGAAGCCACACTCTTCAGTCATCCATTACAAAATTTAGGCACAGATGTAAGGAAGAGAGGCATCCCTTGATATCCCATGAGCACCTAACACTTCCAAACAACCCGAAGTGCTCTCTCCACTGGAAAAATTCTAGAATTCTGTAGCAACAAAATACCTTTGATCCAGAAGATAAAACTGTGTTTGTTGATTAAGCAAAACTCAAGTATATAAATATATCCACACACACGTGTACATACCTACAGACATGACTACACCAAAAACTAAAATACAGTGGGACTGAAGGTATTTAAGTCTTGCTTGCAGGCAAAAGGAGAAATAATGGTTAATAACTTGAAGAGAGTGAGAAAACAGGCCAGACACCAGCTTTGGAACACCCTTTCTGCTTCCAGAAAGGCCTCTCAAGCCAGTCAGCAGGCACCAACACATCAGCAAAGTGCACCATTTTATGTGTGAGATCCACATCAAAGAATGGCTTAGCCTTTCAAAAATCAAAATAATATGCAGAACATCCATCTGATGTCTGCAAGCCCCACGGTCTCCTCAAGAAGCAAATTAGCTGCTTGGATTTTTCCCCCCTATCCTTGCACAGGCAGCCAAAAGGAAGAACACTTGCAAAGGGGATGGATACATTTTTCATATAAAATGAGCTTTATAAGTTTCCCAAAGACCACCCTGTAGCCTCCAGAAGGTTTGCACTCACCTCTGCTCAATGCCAAGGTGTGCATTGATGCTGGCATATCGAGCTGTGCCAGTGAGATTTTTGTCTTCTCTGTAAGGTATGTGTTGCCTTGTCCTGTTGTCCCGGTACTTTTTGGCCAAACCAAAGTCAATAAGGAATAACTTTAAGAAAAATGAAAATAGGTTAGATTGCTATCCAATCCCCCAAATTCCCAACTTCTTGCACTAGGCATTAGCTATGTTTTAAGACACCCAGACAACGTAACAGCCTACAGTTAAAAGAAGCAAAGTAACAGTGCAGAGGCGCAACCAGCTTTAACTAGCAAGTTAAAAACTCGATGGTGAATTAGCTCAAGCCTTTTCTCAATCCCCTGGCACGGATTAGATGGTGCTACTCAGCCTCTGGAGCTCAGTTCTACCACTGTTTTCTGTCCCTGCTGTAGTCTGATGACTGCAGTGCACAGCTGAGGGAGGAAGATGTGTGAAAGCACATCCCAAACCTTCACTGGCACTGGAGCAGCTCACACACACACACACACACACTTAATGCACGAGGCACATCCTGCAACCTCCTGTCTCAAAGAGCAGTGGCCATGCTGCAGAGCACAAGGCCAAAACCTACCCCAAAAAACAAGACAGCTTGGTCTTGGCTCATTTTAAGGCTCCCACAACCACTGCAACAGCAGCAGGACAAACTCACTGGTTTGATCACAGCCAAGAAGCTGGAGCCAAGGAATGGATCCAATTTGGGTTTCTAATAACCAAGCTTGCCCAATGATTTGGTATTTAGCAACCTGAGTGTGTGGTAATTAGTGTGTGGTAATCAGTGTGCTGCCAGCCAGCCCACCTACAAAGGGTCATGCAGGCTGGACCTTCTCGGGCAAGATTTCAGGACTAGGCAAAAAAAGCTGAGGCAGAAAGAAGTACTTAAGGAATCTTTCAAATTCTAGCATTCAGACCTCAAGCTACAAATTCTGATTCCAACACTGGATTAATGCTACAGGATCAAGGACTACAATCCCTACAGACTGATCAGTGCTGCAAAAGTAACTTGGGTGGGGGCAGAACGTGATGGAAAGAAGACATTTAAAGTTTGAAAAAGTCTCAGTAAAAACCAACTCAGTATCACCTCAAAGCTGATTCCAGAATCTTGAAAAGCAAACTGGAGACTAAAATACATCCAAGGCTGAAATGGGGGTTCACTGGCACAATGGAAGTGCTGTGCACTAGGAAGTTCAACTCTATATAAAGTATCCAGGATACTGAAAGTTTCTGAATTGAAGAATAGCTATGGTTCAGAATTCTGATTTGAGAAGATTTACCAACTACAGTAGGCTAGACAGGAAAAAGCAAAGCTCAAATCCTCTTAAATTACTGGTGTCAGAGCAGAAAACCCGAGGTTGAAGTCTTGCCATGATTTATATGCAAACACAAGGCACTGTTCAGGTGAAAGTCACCCTGAAAGTACAGAATGCCTGGAGCAAGGGACATAAACCCGAATTTTTACATCAACTCCACTGCTCAGACAGCTCAGCAAGGAGTGGGTCTTGGCTGTGCTGACCCACTACAGGCAGCTACTCAGTGAGCATGGATATATTCCCTAGCTACCAGGAAATCATCTGATATGCCAGGAAATATTTGATATTGAATCCCAAAGCAGACAGTGTAAAGCTCTACGTGACTGCTATGCTGTAACTTTCCTAGAAGCAAAGCCTGAGCTCGAATGCAATCCTTCATTTTCTGATTTGGTCCACAACACAGACTCATAACTGGGTATTATTTTACAGCAGCAGCTTTCCCTGGGGAAGTTTGCTCTGTTCCCTAGCTCAGGATCAGTCTGTAACTCCCTGTGGATGGGTTGAAGGCAAAGGAGTGAATCTCTCCTGCAAAGAATTAAGCTGGGAGACACAATTTGGATGAGCACAGAACGTCCCAGTGCCAGTTCCCAGATAACCTCACACCACCTTCATTCTGTTTGTTGCACTATCAGCAGGAAACTGGAGAAGTAGGGCACGATTTTTGCCAAGAGCAACTAGAGAAGCAGATCAAAGTTTGTGCCTGTGATAAGAAAAGTTTCAGAAGCAGACAACAGAAGCCTGTCAGCTCGTGTACAGCAGGAATCCGCCTGGGATTTAATCCATGGAGATTTCTGTGGAAAGCTGTGCACCAATGGCCAAGCTCCTGAGCAGTGATTCATATTCAGCAATTTCCAGCTGTCCTGCTACCAACTGGCAAATGTCTTCCTCTCTCTGCAATTCATCTTCTCTTCAAGAGCCAGAAATACAACATTAGACACTGCAAGATAAGCTCCTGTTTCTCCAAGACACAGCTTGCTGGAGTAATTTCGGTTTTTAAGCACAATGGATGAAAATATTTAAGTCTTCATTACACATTTGGGGTGATTTTGAACAAAAACTGCTCGGGGAGGAGTGTGGCTGAAGTGAAAACAGAATTTCTCCACGTGCATCCATAGGAACTGCAGGAAACCTTCAGCAAGGTAAGCGGGAGCCCTGTTATTTCATGTCTATCCTTCACCACATTTTTAGGAGATTGCCTTTTGAGTTGGAAAGACCACAAAAAAAAAAACCTGCACCTGAAATCAAGCACGTACATTTAGCCCTATCAAAGTTTAGAAATAATTCCACAATTTAAACAAGCGCCACAGGGAAACATCTTAGTAATGTTACATGTTTGCCAAGTATGTCTGAATAATGCCAACATAAGAGGTGCTTTTGCAAGGTCTACATTCTCCAGAAAAACGAAATAAAAAACAAAAAAGAAACCAAACCAAACGGAAAAAAAAAAAAATTAAAAATCAAAATAACCAAAACAAAAAATAAAGCACATGAATTTGGGGTTGAGGTTGGAATAGGAGACAGTTCAGACCTGGTTTAATCCTGAGAAAGATGGGTCCTGAGAAGTACTAACAGTCATGCTTCTTTTCCTCTTCCCCACTGGAGATTCTAAACACTGAACAAACAATAGAGGGTGGCAGTGCATCAAACAGTCTTGCTTACATTGCAACATTGGCCGGCGCAGACAGGCAACACCGAGGCGTTTGAGAAAGAACAGGGTAGCCAAATGCCATCCTTCTTCCACCAAGCACTGTACTTTTCAAAAAAAACTATCTTTCCATCTTTTTTTTTTTTTTTTGGAGTAATATTTTGATTCTTTTTAGTGGTTTTTTTATTTTTTTTTTTTTTTTTTTTTTCCAAGGAAATTTGACAGATGGGACAAGGTAAATTTCAACTGTGAGCCGCTCCAAAATGGCACTGCCTTAACCAGGGATAGCAATGGTGACATTTGGCTCTATTAAAAAAGGAAATTCAAGTTTTTGCTTACAAAAGCAGCCTTTGGTTCCACAAACTGCCCTTCCCCCATAAGACATTTAGAAAAAGTAAATCTTCAGTAAGGAAGAGGTAGAAGGCATTTAGTCACCTTAAAGTTTACTTTCATAAGCATGCAGGGCTTATTTCTAGCAGAGCTGGAAATTCAGCTTTTAAGGTGGGAGCAAAATTTCTCCCAATCACCAAATTAAAATTTGGAAAAAAAAAATTCAATTTCATTTATTTTTTTTTTAACATAACTGACAGGAAGCTACTGGAACAAGATTACCATGCTGTTCTAGTCTTTGTGACTGATTTTCTTTTAACTGTGTAGAATCATCTCTAAAAAAAAAAAAAACCCCAAAACTACACTTGGTTACAAAAAGAAACATTAAATACTGAATGGTGGCAAGTGTTTCCTAGACAAAGCACTTGATTCCAAACTGAAGGAACCCATTCCATATTTTTGCTCATGTAAAACTATTAATTTGCTGTCGGGTCAGGAACTACCTCCCTAACCCCTGAAACATAAGTGAAGCCCATGCCCACAGACAGTGTTTTACCATCCTATCACTGCATGGCTCCCTAATTAAAGGGGAAAAAAAAAAATCAAATGGTTTTGTAAGCAATTTTGTCTTGCATTTCAGCTGATCTAAAATCTCAAGTGTTCCTCCTCTAAAGTAAGCACAGCAGCAATTTCTAGGCCATTAATCCACACCAAGATGAACTGGAGTGCAGCAATGTCGACCTAGCATGACTGTGCAAAAGTATAGAAAAATGGCCCAAAAAGAACAATTGGAAATCAGAAACTAAAACTAGGAAAAAACCAAAATAAAAGTTTTCAAGTTCTACTTGGAGTTCATGCCAGAGAATTAAGGAGCCTAAACTGCTCGACACAGCAGAGAAAAATAGAGCTGTACAGAGTGAAAGTATGAAACTTGGGAACAAACAAAGTTTAACAGCAACAGGATTACATAAAGACTGCCTTTCAGCTGGAATTACAAACTTTTCCAACAATGGTTGTCTCTAAACACTCAGTGCATTGCACCTCTTCAGACAAGAGCTGGTATCTCACATTATCCAAGTTTTCCCCCTTCTAATGCTCATGGCCCTGAAGTTGGCATTCATACAGGCAAACAAAGGTAAACATTTTGATTACTGGTAGTGCCTAACCAGATGAGACATCCTGGGATGGCATATAGAGAAGATAAGTGGGAATCTTGCTTCCAATAAACAGCTTGATCACGTACTTTTGTCCTGAAGTTAATTTCTAATCGGTAGCATGCTTAATGCATTGCCAATGCTGCCTGTCTGCCCGAGCTCGACATACAAATTGCAGGATTAAGCATATTTCACTCAAGAAAACTAAAAATGAAATGAAAAAGTTGCCTTCTAGGCAGAAAACATGCACTTCTGACTATGTTTACCCATCCCAAAAAGTGTAAAAACCTCAGCCCCCCCCCCCCCCCCCCCCCAGCTTTTTTTTTTTCCCCCCCCACAAAGTAAACGGAGACAAAATTTTTGTTGTACAGCAGGTGTACTACAGCTTAACAGTTTTCCCATCAACATAATTGCATCATTTCTTTTCTTTATCAAGGCATCTGCATGTTGGCTCTTGGTCTTATCCACAATTCTGATGGTTGAAGAGACTTTACCAGTCTGTCACTGCAAGATTTAAAGCCTTGCTGACTGGCAGGTCAGGAGAGCTCCCACGTTGGCACAAATTGTTTTCATCCTAGGAAGTGTCAGCCCCCAAAGCCAAAGACAAGATTTCTCTTTATCATGGAGGAATAAAATGCTATGACAACAGACATCTTGAGAGAAGTAGTCAAGTATTCTCTAGGGTTAGTTTATAAGCTTGTTGCAAGTCTAGAAGTCATCTTGCAATCAAGTGCATCTCCCAGGTTGGGTCAGAGACTCACAGCATTTACAAATGGGAAACCAAGAAAACCAAGTTCTCACAGCCAAGAACTGTGGTTTAGCATCCAAAATAGCAGTTTTAGCAATGGATTTTACAAAAGTTGTGCAGCTGGAATCAAATCACACAGGCATTCTGTCTGCAGCTGGGAAACAAAGAGCTTTGGACTAACCTTATTACAGTGACGCCCAATACCCATTAGGAAGTTATCTGGTTTAATGTCTCTGTGTATAAAATTCTTTGTGTGCACATATTCAATTCTACTGATCATCTGTAAAAAAAACCAGCAACATGTAAGATTTCAAAGAGAACAAGACATTTCATTAAACCTTCAATGAAAGCATGAATTTTTAGTGTTACCTTCCTCTGTAACTTCAGTTTATGTATCTGCTTAATGAAAATCAAGTTTTTAAAATGCTGTCTGAGTATCTTTTTTCCGTGTCAAAAATTCCATGATCTTGGTCAGAAACTGGCAGACCAAATACCTGAATATTTCCCAGATATTGAGGTCCATGTTTCTAACTATAGCATCCTATTAAAAAGTAACTTTTTTCATTACTTCAAAGATTTTATAGCTATCACAAGCCAATTTTAAAGCTCATTCCCTCCCACCATCCCAGTTACTCATTCATCTGGTTATTCATTCATCAAGCATCACTTTTCCAGGTAACAGTTTACATGGAGCAAGTCACAACTGGATGGTGGCCCACGCTGTCATATCTAGGCTACCCTGATCCCAGAATATCTGGAGGGACTCTGGCACATCTGGGGCACATCTGTGTCATCCTATAGAACCAACCCATTTCCTGTGGGTGAGATCACAGCCCGTGGTTATATGGCACAGCTCTGCTCCAACACTCCCCTTGCAGGCTTGAGTTGTTACATCACCCCCCTGCCAGCTGTTTGCTGGACTGTGCCCTAAAAGCCATTTCTGAGCACTGATATCCCCCCATTTCTTCCTGGTTCTCCCAGCTGACAGCTAATTAATGTTTATCATCCAAAGGAATACTGCACAAAGCCCTTGTGGATTCTCTGGAGATGCTGTCACACCCAGACTCTGGCTAAGTGAGCAGGCAAATGGCTTTGAAAAGCAAGCACATCACCCTTTTATAGGGCAGCTGAGAACAGGGACAGCTGACCTTGTCTCCAGACAAATGCTTTGAGCTTCCTTGGCCAAGAGCCTGGGATTCTACGAGCATCTGGCTAAGTGACAAACTTGGTACTGATATCAATTACGTAATATTAGATGAAATTTCAACTACCATTGAAAAATTCAACTTGAAAAACCCTCACTGCTTTTCAAGGAGCTGAAGGCAGCACAATCAAGCCATTTATTAAGCAGCAAGGAATAAATATGGCTGCTCATTTCAAAAGCTCTATTCTCATGACCAAGTTGGAAAAATATCAACTGCTATAAAAAAAGACTTCAGAGAGTTTTAGAGGCCTCGATTATGTTGGAGGTACAGTGGCATCTCCACTAACAGCTTGAAGAACTGTCTGTGAGGACCAAAGAAGCCATGCAGTTATTTATTATTAGCTCACTGTCTGGTCCTAGAGGCTACAGGAGGGACAGACTTGCATGTTGTCACCACAGGTCCTATTGAATCACATCACCCACAACTGGAGACTGTTTCAGCCTCCCTACCACAACCCCCGTGGTGATAACTGGCAGTGAATCCACCCAAATTAGTCTGAATATTTTAATGAAGTTGCCCTTAAAGCAGCAGCACAAAGGAGCTGGCAGCTGCAGTGCCCTCCCACTCGGTGCATTTTGTAGGGCAGAGCACACAGGAACCACCATTACTTTGTCCTTATTTAGGTCAAGTGTTCACTTAGTGTATAAAACACTGCATTAATTATTTAACCCACTCTGCAGAGAATCCCTCAGGGCTCTGAAGCTGCTCCCACCAAGGTGTTCACTTACCTGGTCTGCTAGCATAAGTACTGTTTTCATGGTAAACCTGCGAGAACAGAAGTTGAACAGGTCTTCCAGGCTGGGCCCCAGAAGATCCATGACTAGAACATTGTAGTCCTTTTCTTGACCATACCACCTGCAAGAAAGGAAATGATTCAGCATTAACAGGAATCCTAATTCAGCCCAGGATAGCCTCAGTGCTCTCAGCTGTAAGGGCACGTTGCTGACTGATGTTCCATCTTGAAAGCTAATGAGAAATTAATGCTGGTAATATCTTATTTTTCCTGGAAACAGAAGTCTGAGCAAAAACCAGAACACACAAGTTGGCAATTTTCCCTGAAGAGAAAACATTACTCTAACAACCAAAATACCAAACACCACAGTGAAAATGCAACCAAAGCAGCAGTGTCCTTATACTGAGGGGTGTGCACAACACCTGGACTGAAATTCCTCTGCAGGACACCTTTTTCTCATTGTTCCTGCATCATTTCACTTCACAAAACCATCTTGAAACGCTTTAGGCTTTGTTTCAGGCCTGACTTTTCTGCACCAGACCAAATCAGTTCACTTGCATACTTTTTAATTTATTTCTCTATTTAAACAATGCCAACCGAGTTCTGTTGTCCAGTTAAATTGAATATAAAGGCTCTTTATCAGGTTTTTAATATCACAGAGAAAGAAGCACTTAAGTGTCAGAAAAGCAAAAGTAGAAACATAAAATATTAAATGCAGCTATACTGTGATAGTAACTTTAAGTGCCTAATACATCAATTTTGGACAAAAATAAAGGCTAACAATGCTGTGAGAACAAACTGAAATCTTTCCACGGATATTTTCCTTTCCAATCCATGTTTAACATTTCCATCATCCCCTGCTTTATGACATCTGCAGCTGGGGGTGGTATCTCCCCACCCAAGCTCCTGAGCAGACCTGGAGGCACACCCTGGACTCCTGCACATCTCAGCTATCAATCTCCTCACTTGAAACACAGGCCTGGAATATTCTCCTCTGCAGTCCTTCTGCACAGCCCAGATAACTACAGTGAAGTGACAGCTGTGTGTGAAAAGCTGTTTTGAAGCTGACATGACACCTGTTTGATCAGAAAGCTGCAATTTTGCCTTTTCTAAACTCCTGTTCCTTACATCAAGTACCTACTGCCAGTAATCCAAGGAGAATTTCCCTTAATTTAATTAATTCCCAACAACAGTGGCACAGACAAGGTACCTCAAGGATGTGCCTCATAAGAAGAGCATGCAAATAAAAAAAAATAATTTAAGATTCAGCTAAAGTAGCAGTTGGGGCTTAAATATCTGTACAGACACTGTATTTCCACTTTAGGCAATGACTCCACTACACCAATGCATGGTTGTCTGGAAAACAGTTACCACTGATAAAGTCAACAAATTCCTAGGTACTCACAGGATTCCAAGCTTAGCTTAGCTAGGATAGTAAAATAAAATGTTTACAAAGCCAGAGAGAAAAGATTCTATATTTGGATTTGTTTCAGGAACTACTGGCCTGTACCTTCCCTGGACTGTCTGGATTCCAGGAGAAACCAAGCCCTTCATTCCTGCATTGTTATAAATCTGATAAAAGTCATATATGAGCTGTGGCTCACACTCCTTGTTTCACAGATCAGTCTAAGACCTTTATTCATTCCCTGCATCAAAATGGGATGCAGAAATTATGTATTTTGAAAGCAGTTCAAAATTCAAATGAAATGTCAACAGAACAGCTCTGTAACTCCAAGGGTCACAGGTGAAAATGGAACATTTTGGTCACCTAAAGAAATGAAAATTGGAGCAAATGACCTGCCCAGGTATTCTGTCCTATGAAATTTAGGTTTGTTGTGAAAAAAAACCCTACATAGTAATGGGCTGAAATGAAGAATTCTAAGGAGTCAATCAAGATCTAGATAAAGTCCTATTTTCTTCAAGGGATGGAATTCTAATTGAGATGCTGGGTGTAAATGTTGAGCACAGCAATGGTTCAGTGCCCAAGAGATGCAGTGGAAAGGAAAAGGATCAAAGATCAGCCTTCACTGGAGCTGAGAAAATCCAGTCTCAGCCTCACAGCCAAGGTGAAGCTGATGCAAAGGAAGCCCACCCTGGAAGGTACATTTTAAAAACCTTTTTGTTCCTCCACAGGGATCTGTCTGCTGAGTAAGTGCAGTAATTCAGGATGATTGCACAACCTTTCTTTGGCCTATTTCTATGTATGAATAAGAAAATTCTCATCTCCTGACCATTCTGCACTGGTGGAAAGCACACTCAGTTCTCCAAGACAAAGAAATAAGGCAGAACCTCTTAATATTTAATTTTCACCTTTACCTGCCTGTAATTCCTCATTGAAAACTGTGACACCTATTCATTTCACTGCTGGCAACTGGAACTTCTTCCAAGGTATCAGAGTGTTTTATTTACTTTGCTAACACTCAAATAAGTTTACATTTCCAGGGAAAATGGGATCAAGAAGTAAAGTAACATCATGTCAATTCAAGGTGTAGGAGCTGCTACTACTGGCATGAATGAAAGAACATTAGAAGTCTTGGTTTTCTTAGGAAAACTTGGATATTAGGATATATAAAAGCTGGTGTCCCAAAAAGAGATCTTCACAAGTTCTTGTCCTGCATCTGCAGGGAAAATTGGAATTATCTACTGCTATGAAGGAATGATCCATACAAAGCCCTGGGCACCTCTTAGGTGGCACTGGCACCTCAGAATACAAATGTGCCCTCATGTCTGAGAGATCCAGGGACTTCTATCAGCACACTTCAAGTCCTTTCCCTCATAATAAAGCTGAGGAAGCAACACATTTTAACTAAGGGAGAGTTTTGGAGGGGAGTGAAAAGTTGGAGGAAGAGACTGAACTGCTTGAGAGCCATTTTGGGTGAGTAATTACCCTGATTTAGTTACATACAATGTATTATTTCAAGAAGAGAAGCGAATTTACTGGAAAAAGTTCTCCTGATCTTTCTCTAATTGATTCCTACTCTGCTTTACTTCCTTACATAAAACATTAACAGGACAGAATCATGAGAATGGTTGAGTTTACCCTTGAACAGGCAGTGTCCCACAAACACCTGATAGAGATGTCACAAACCTACTTGAGCTTCAAGGTGTGCCCAAGCTCCCAGGCAGGAAAATGCTTCATCACTCTCCCTTCCTCATCTGTTTCAAGCTACATAATCCAACTATTCCAATTAGTCAGAATACAGTAAACCTCTTTTATGAACCATTTTATCAGAGCATAGTTAAAAGCTGAGCACGGTGACCTTAATTTGACTTCAATGACTTGTGTGTGTGACAGACCAAGACTGGCCACGTCACCAAGTTTCCAAATCATGTGGTTTGAGAGCCTCTTCTATAACCTCAGCATAAACACGAAGCTGAAATTCTCTAACATCTTGGATTTCACTATTTGAGCTCTGTGGGAACACCTAAGTCACAGCACACAGGAGTTTGAAAGTGTTTAGTTTCTAAATAATACACAAAAAAGCAGGTCTGATGTCAGGTCACACAAGTGGATGTTTACTTGAACTGACATGGGGTGGGTTTTTAAATTCTCTTGACTAACCTTGAGACAAGGAAGTGAAGTCTTGATGCATATCTAGTACTTGGTGGTAAACACTGTAGTCAGCTCTGCCCAAACTTAAAATCCTTCTGCCTTTTCACAGCTGAATCTTTCAAAAAAACCTATCATATCTATTTCAGCAACTGCATATTTTGTAAATAATGTCAAGGACAAAAGAAATGTTTGAGGAAGTGCTTGTTAATAGCTTGGTTTGTTTTGCTGGCGTTTTTTTGTTTTACCTAACATTTAATTTGGTTATTAATAGTAATTTTTTCACATCTTCCTTTGAAAGGGTCAAACAGAACTAGACCTACTAGCAGAGAAAGGGGGTGAAGGGCTAATAAAATCACAAACAAGCCATAAAATTCCAGCCCAGTTTCACACTACTGTGTCACTCACAATTCCAATCAAGAACCAGCAGTTTCATTCACTACACTGGCAATTATAATAATTACAATGAGGTAACAAACCCAGCATAAGCATCCAAAATGTGTGAGAAATAAATAAAAGAATTCAGAAGATACACATTAAAACAACAATTCAGATCAAGATGAAGGAAATTACTGAGTTAGTAAAAGACAGCTGGAAGCCACTGGTAAAGAAATCCCAAATCCCAGAATTCTGAAGCCATGGAGGCAATAAAGGCACCTCACTTTGCCTACAGCTTATAGAAAAAACCAGAACACGAGCTCAATGTCATAAAAAAACTGTTCCCACCACCAGACAAACCATGACAAGACCATTTTGTTCCAACTTAATAAAAGCTCTCCTCAATCAACACCTGCTTTGCCAGGTAACCCATCCTCCACTAAAAGCTTCTGTCAGCTCCATCACTGACTATTCCCACAGGGGCACTGGCAACCTGGAATTACAAACTGAGCTACAGGAGCCTTTGCTTTTGTCAGACAAAAAAAAAAAAACATCTCCTGGTGCCTCACTGCAGGGAAGGACAATTCTTCCAACACTGGAATATTGAAATTCAAACCTTTACATTTCCACAAACATTTATACTCCCATTACAAAAAGGTGATTGTGACTTCTTTGATATTATATAAACTTTTGCCACGTTTATAAATGATGGTGTGTGACCCTATGATTACTCTGTGTAATCCTATGGAATTAAATTTCCCAGCACTTGAGTTTTCAAGCAACAAGTGAAAGAGTTTTCATGACAGGAATGGAGATTGTCAGAAGAACTAAGGTGGATAAAAAAGCTGTTAGAACAAAAATGTAAGGTGAAAAAGCAAGCTGGAAAGAACCTGCTAACATAATTACCTGAGATCACCTAATTAGTAAGTTTGACAAGTCAGCAGGCACATGAGGGGGAATATGCAAGTCTGGAAAGCCTCGTGGACACAAAGGATTCAGACATCCCACAGTGATCTGGTGAGTGAACACTCTGGAACTGTATTCCAACCCTGCCAGCCCTAAGTCATTTACACAAAAGTCTCTGAACTGGCATTAGTCAGATGATGGTACTAAAGAGAAAACACTGACCTCCCTGTAATTACACAGCTCTGATATCCCCGAAAAATACCAAGTTATCCCAACCAGCAAAAGTGC